AGTTTACCTTCCTCCTTCTTTAAACATCACTCTCCTTAATATCCAGCATGTAATGGCAGTCTAAATATGATCATGATAACATTTATTTTCAAGCCTTTTGTAGTTTCAGTAGTTTAAAGAGTCTACAGTAGAGACAGCAGTTGGAGCAGGAGGGGATGAAAGCCATCGAGGCAGACAGGAATAGCCTACCTGACACAGCATGTGTCTTCACCCACTGGAGGACACATTATTTCAAAGTGTGTTGTATAGTTTAACAGGGTGGTTCCTAACCGGGAGATCAGAAAAAAAAGACAAACCAAAGGGATCTCAAGATAATATACAGGATAGATAGAGGGAGAAAAACATACATCCACTACACAAAATAATGTATGTAGATTTTGTGAGAAACTGAACACTTTTACCTCTTCACCTTCAAGAATTATTCAAATGAAACAATCTGAGAAGGAAAAATCTACTCAAAACTTATTGACATATGCAACATGTGACGGCAAGTAGATAGTTGCTTTACTTAAAGGGGTCATAGGGCAAAAAGGTTGGGAAGAACTAGTTTAGCAAGAACAACAAAAGCAGTCTTATACTAGACATTGTTTGGGTTTCAACACTTTTTAAATATAATATATAGCATGTTTAATTCATTAATTAATAGGTGCTGCCTGCTGTTTATAAGGATTGTGGTTTTGCTTCTCACTCAGAGATGGCGGAGGAGAAGGCTGACTCTGTCCTTGACTTGAGCCACCTGACAGAAGAGGAGCAGACCACCATCCTGCAAGTCTTAGATCGTGACTCGGAGTTGCGTCGTCTTGATGAAGGACGTGTAAGGTCAGAGGTGACTGTTAGGTGCCAGTTTTGTCCAGTGATTAACACAAACAGAAAGACGGGTGACAAATTAAAGGAGTAGAATAGCAGTGGATAGATGATAATGCAGCACATTTATTCAGGGTTTTCCTTTAATTCATCTCCTGTCTGTATGTTGTAGTTTAAGGTTAAGGAAAAACACTTCTTGGACAAAAAGTGCAGATTTGCTGTGTGACAATTTGAAATGTGGTAATATGAAACATGTAACCTTAATATCAGCCGAAATAAGTAAGGTTTTCATACAAGGACCCTCCTCAAGATGAGACAGGGGCCTCAAAATTAGATAGTATAGCGATAACCAGCTTAACGCCCTTATCATGTCACTTGATATTGTTCTTAAATAGTGCCTGTTTCCAAACAAACCTTTAGTTAGCCAAATCACCACACATCAATTGCCTGGTTGGTTATTCAGCCTTGCCTCAATAGGAAAGAGTCCCATAGAACCTCTGATTTGGTAATAAGGCCCAGTAGTCAACCTGTTGTCCCCTGTTTGAGATGTTTGTGTTGATTCATCTTTATTTATTTATTTGTTTATTTGACAGGGAAATAAACACCTTAGCTTAACTGCACCAGAGTTAGCTATGAGGTCATTTACATCTGTAGTCCCTGGGCAGAAAACAGTGAGACAGACATCTCTGTCAAGAAAAGTAATACTGCAAGAACGTTAACACTGTAGTACGAAAACACAATTACAAGACAATACGTACATACAACATAAATATCAGCAACAACAACAAGATTTCACAACATTAGGACACATCAAGTGTTTGCTTTTCATGCACAATGGGTACATGATTGGGTTGATTATAGGCCTAATTTCATCTTGAATTTAAAACCAGTGAAGCTTCAGCACTCTCTCGTAACGCATCTAAGTTTATTGCTGAGAAGGCTGGTCTGCCAAATGCAGTAGATCCGTGCAGTATTTCCTATTTTAGTCATCCTAGTTGTCCTCCGTTTGTCTGAGTGCAGTGATAGTATGAACTCTTTTAATGGAGGAGAAGCCAGATCATTGATCACTTTGTGCAATAAACTAGCGCCAGCAAAACACACAAAGCTGTCAAAGGTCAGGAGATTATATGTCTTAATGATTTTACAATGGTTGTCACTTGATGATTTTCTGTTTGTTTGTTAAGTGTTTGCAACGGTTTAAATACTCATCACAATTTTCCCAAGGTAGAGAGCAAATCCTCACATTTGAGAAGCTAAAACCAAAGAACATTTGGCATTTTTGCTTGATAATTAACATAAACAATTTATCAATCTTCAAAATTGTTACCTACTTTTTTATTGTTTAGATTGGTTAATCGATTAATCGGCTAATCATTTCAGCTCCCCAATCAGTATTCAGTAATCATGTATCAAAGAGAAAAGTCTAATCTGGAAACCTGGCAAGTTAAATGTTGTGTGTTTGATATTAGGGATACTGACACATCTTTGTCTTTTATGCCCTGAACAAATTGCATGACAGAGGAGAGAGCAGTGACTGTTTAGTTTGTCGGCTGACGTCAGCTGACTTTTGCTGACAGGAGGTTGTAATTGTTTGCTGTTTAACTTGCCCTGTGTCAACGCTGCAGGGTCCTCGAACAGACAGAGACAGACCCGACACGTCTGCGCTTCCTGTCGGGGGCATGGTTCAGCGAGGAGCGCAGCAAACGCCATCGTACCCGGTCGGGCATCGCCCTCGTGCATGCCACCATACGCCACAGAAAGACAAAGAGCAGAGGTCAGTTTAAAGCTCGACTGCTATTATAGGCCTGTGGGGCCGTTTTATTACTGTTATAGGGATATCCCAGTGATGTGTCTGTGCTGTTGCCATGGTAACAGATGTGCCCCTGACTGGACTGTTCAATGGAGAGAGCGAAGAAAGCTCCCACAACAACAACAACACGTCTCCTGAGGCTGAGAGAAGACTGAAGGACGGCAAAGATGAGGAGAGTGGAGGGTTAGTGAGGGCGTCTAACACCGATAAATCATTTCACTGTGTGTAGCTGCATTTTCCAATATCTTGTTTGTGTTTAAAGGAGTCAAGGAAGTTTCAAACCTACACCCACACCCAGAACAAAAAGTCCCATAGCACAGGTCTGTATGTAAATGCTTGTTTCTTCTTTCTATGCTTCAAAAATCAAAACAATCTAA